AGTATAGCTAATGCGGCAATGGGAGTTTAAATATAAACACCAAATAAGCTCAGAAGACTGTTTGATATACATACAAAGTTTATACCTAGGAAGGAAGGAAGAGAAAGGTAGGAAGGAAGGAAGGGAGGGAGGGAGGGAGGGAGGGAGGAAAGGATTGTCTTCATAAGCATGTCTTCAAGCTTAGTGAGTTCATGAGATGTATCAGGTGAAAAATCTTCATTATGATAAACTGTCAGCACCTTAGCATGCTTCTTACTGGAAACATTTAAATGTTTTCTTCAATGCAGAGTGAGAATCCTACCCACATCCACACCCCAGGAAACAGTTTGACATATCAAATGCAAAAGTGATCTGAAATAACCAGTTGAAATACAAGGCCTCCAGAATTTCCAACCAAAGACTATACAGTCAATTTCTAACCAAAAGTACTTGAGAAGTCACTGATGTGACTGGCCACTCATGGCCCAGCATGTTTTGACAAAATTTTCAAGAGGAAAAAAGTTATACAACATAAAAATATAAATATCTATATGTAAAGAAACATATAAAACATATGTATGATATATTTTATATTTAATATGTAATATACATAGAAAATATCACTTTATAGTATGTATGTACGTGTGTGTCTATACACACACACACACACACACACACACACACACATATATGTATGTATGAAAAGTTCAGAAGGATTTTAATAATAGTCTTCTACTGAGGCAGATAATAATGAGAGTAAACCCTGCCCTCAACACTACACCATGTGATTAAGGAAGTTCAAAAGGGACAAATAAACTAAAATATTGCATAGCTCCCTATCCTATAAAATCTCCCTCTGATAATAACACGCTCATCATACTAGGACTTCAGTATCATAAATGCTTCCATTGACACTAACTAATTATTCCTTGGTTGATCTTCTCAAACACCAAGTGAGATAAAGCAGGGTACATGCTATTACACCTCTTTTACACCCAAGAAACCTAAAGACGTAAACAGACAGTGACTGTTCCAGGAAGTGACAGATCGCCAGGACAGGTGGAGCCAAGATTCTCCTGACCTCCCACCCACTGTGCTTTCAACACCATCCGGCTGCCTTATTCCCCAAAGTACAATAAAATCCGAGCAGCAGAAGGGACAGGGGGAAGCCACACTTTCTCAATTTGATGGGCCTTTAGAAACAGAAATTGAACCAAGGGAACCCCCATCATTAAATTCATCTGTACCCACACCCACATCCTCTGATCTCTTTTCTCAATTTCAGCTCAGACACTTCTATCTTTTCTTTCTTTTTCTAGAGACACATTTGGAGATGAAACCATTCATAACTGCCCATCCACAGACAGTTTGTGGCAGCATAATTGACAATGAGTCTGCTGCAAAAAAATGAAAATGCTGTTTTAATAACCTTGGCCTAAAATACATTCTATTGTATGCCTCAAAGGGTTTCAATAAAAAGTCAACCTGTAGAGACATATTTTCTTGGCTTAAACAACAATCCAAAGCATATAAATGTAGTCCAACTATAATGACATATTTATAGGCCAATAAAGCTTACACTGCAGCTTTCATACTTCACTTAAAGGAACTCTGTAAGAAGCAGTGTTATATAAAATAATTTGATTTTTTTCCCAAACTATAGCCCAAGGAATAAAAAATGCAAGTTTGCTATGTTTAACTGATAGTGTTTACATTCCTTAGTTGCTAAAAATTTGAAAAATGAAATAATTCTTCATTTGACAACTTCCTACTGCCATACCAAATATGGGTATCAAGTCCATTTTATTACAAAAGCTAAGTAATTCTAAAGACAAAAATAAATAACTAGAAGCTTGTGTAGTGAATGATTTAATCAACCCGATTCTTCTGGAAAAACAGGTTCCTGTGTTCGTTATGCTTATGAATAATACATTCCTTAACCCTCCTATTTTAACATAGCTCTTTTCTCTCTCTCTCTCTCTCTCTCTCTCTCTTTTCTTTTTCTATAAACTTTAGTATGAAACTGTCTGAGAGAAGGTAAAACATCTCACCGAGTAAAGTCACAATTTGAATTGGTTTCATATTGAACTTTCTTTCTTTGAAAAGGACAAAGAGGAGGGAAGGGGACAGAGTCCCTCTAACACATCTCAGGAGTGTTTTTGAAGATTATTGGTTTTCCCACTATCTAGATGTGTCATTTTAGTCACCAGTCATTTTGAATCTTAAACGAAAACTGCAGAGATTTGTAAAAAGCAAACATGATATCCATAAATATTGTCCTTGAAGGGGAAGGAGATTAAAAAAAAAAAATAGCTGTGTTTCGAATCAGAGCAGTTATTGGAAGCTGCCATTTGGGGCAGAGTTTCTCTTTGCGGAGTATTAATTTGTTGGCAGACACACATTTGTGAGAACATTCTTGTTTTTTTACTCTTCAGAGAGAGACAGGAAGTGACACAAACTGGGATTAAAGGGAACTTATTCTACCTAAACATTGAGCAAGAAGAGTTCTTTAATTAGCTTTTAGATGGCAAAATCCCTTCTTTAAGAGTCAACCTAATTATTTTGTCGTTATTGATGTTTTAATGTGATGAAATACTTCGGTTAAAAACATAACGTACTGGAGTTTTATTTTAGCCACAAGAAAGGTGAGATCTTTCCATTCTTTGCTTATTTCCACCAGAAAAAAAAGAGGGGGGTCTTAAATAATCTCAGAGTTCATCTTCTTTCTTTGGTAAGAACAATGAGGAGTTGGAAGTGTTCTACAGAAGGAAAAACCTAATAAGTGTGTGAACTTCCATTAACAATATGGTATTGGAAGTGGTTTCAGTGTGGCCAAGAGAAAAAGAGATAAGAAAACCACTGTGTAGAAAGAAAAGTACAGACAACAAATATTTTGATGTTGCAGACAGAGAAAGGAAGAGGTTGAAGAGAAAGTTGCTGGGACAGGAATGTGTACAGCAAATGACACCCCCTATCTCCCCAATATAAATCCTAACAATGTAGACTTGTAAACCTTAGATCAGGCGGATAATGGAAACTCATTACATTAAGGAAAGTTTTTGTTTCTCTTTCCACATTATTACAACACAGTGTGCATTCCAATTACAAAAGCTATTTGTCTCAAATTCCCCACAGTTCATACCAACTGAGTAGAATTTCAAGGCCCCAAATACTATCCTTAAAGGGGTATTTTACATTAAAAAAAGAAAGAAAGAAAAAGCACATGGTATTTCTTGTTCACCAGAGGAGAGCCTCCCCATCAAATCTGTTAATTATTTTCCCTTCCTCAGCACTAATTGTAGTGCTGTTTCCCTTATGAGAACCCCCCAGCCTCCCCTGCCCCAAATTAGAATCACCTAGAAAGTCTTTTATCAGTCCACATTCCTTGGCCTTGCCTCAATTCCACTGAATGAAGAATCTGGGGAAGCTGGACATAGCAATCAGTATTATTTTTAAAATTCCCCTAGTGAGTCTAAAAAACAACTAAATTTAAAAACCACTAAGAACTTTGAATATTCACTATAAATCAATTTCTTCTGATATCAATTATTAAAAAGTAGATCATGGACATTTTTTTTTAGAATTCAGTAAGATCAAACCCCTAAATCTTTTGACAGAATTAAGAGATTGAGTTTCCCTTCAGATTCATTAATAAACTATCAATTTTAAACAGAAAACAACTCTGCTATAAATACTCTTGTTTATATGTGTGACATCAAGCTTAACCATCTACACATCCTTTTGTTCCCCCAGGGGTTTCCTGTTTAGTTTTTTATTAGTAACAGTATATTCCATAACTAAAAAAAAAAAAAAAAAAAATCAAGCAAACAAAAGAAACGTTTTAATGTTAGGGAAAACACAAGACAATAGCAATACAACTTAGGGTATACATTAGGAAAGTAATACAACAGATGTATTATTCACCATTATCATACATCAGAAGACTAGTCACTGTGTGTTCATGAAATTAGGGAGTGTAACAGCATATATAGGAAATTAAGTAAAAAAAAACAATTTGGGGGCTTTAAAATAAAACCACCCGATTAATAATTTTCCCTAAGTGTACACATGACCGTCAGGCTGCCATGTCCAGAATATTACCGCCTGACATCTACCAAAAGATGACAGGAAACTGTTAGTCATTGACTCAAATTGCAAGAAAATATTAATATGATTCCCAACACACAGTACAGCTCATCACAAATCAGAATCACACGGAAGACAGTTACTGCTGTTATGCAGTTTCTTTATGCCAATTAAGTAAATAGTCTAGGTTTGTTGTAATAGTTAAATCCTAGTCTAAAAAAAAAACAGGAAGTTGTCACATTAAGGCATAAAATAGGGCTATGAACATCAGCATTGTGCTAGAATGAAAGAAAAAGATGCCTTAATATGTTAAAAGTGAAGTTCCTCTTTGCCTAAAGAGGAAATAGCTAGTCTAACTCAGAGGTCAACAACTTTGGTCTTGAGCAATGCTAGGAGAATAAGTCAGTGAACGCCACAGAGAGATAGGAACAGAAGGGGGAGAGGAAAAAAAAAAAAAGAAAATATCACAAAAAGTCTCTGGAGATGAAAGCGTTAAGTTAAAGCAACAGAATTAATTCGGGAGCCCCTCCAAGGCACCAATCATCCCTGTGCTAAACCCTTTATATCTTCAATCTCAGTGACATGGTAAAGTGCCCATCTTTTTCAGGTGAGGAACCTGAGGCCGAGAGGTTAAACAATTTGACGTTGCTCTCCTACTCCCCATTAAGTAACTCCTCTCTCTTCCTCACTCTGTTTTCCACCCAACGTAAACAAACACATGAAATTCCGACATGGTGTTAATAGATGCCATACTAACTTCTTTGAACAAATATTTAAACTCTTCATTAATTCAATCTCAGGCGCCCTAATGAAGTTGTGTGCCTTTACACCAACAGGAAGCTGCCTAAGGCCAGGTGTATCACGAAGTTCCGGGCACGGGGCTCCATACGGAGAAGGCCCTGCGATGCGCAGCTAGCATCCACCCCCTCACCCACCCAGGCAATCTGTCCATACATATTCCTAGGACCCTTTGAGGTCAAAGAAATTTTATGTATATATAAAATTATCTATATGACAGGGTTTCCAGAAAAGTCTCTGACAAAAAAAAAAAAAAAAGTAGGTTACTGTATACACCCACACATGCGATCTAGAAGTACAAATTATATTTACCAAGGTCAGCCTTTTCCTTGAGAACGTCTTTGAAGTTGAGTCCACTGTTGAGGGTTGACTGCCTGTACTTCAGCAAAGCTTCCTTCTGTCCATTCCTCCCCAAGGCCGTGGTCTTCACGGCGCCAGCACGGAGGCCGCATCTCCACTTGGAGCAATCAGAGTGTACCCACTTGACCAGGTCTTCAAGTTTCACGATTACCTTTTCGGAAACAGCAATGACTTCATCCTACAAGAGGTGGTCAGGGAAGAACAAACGTTATTAGTGGCTGGGAGGCCCATAGTAAGTTTTCAACAAAAGCCCCCTCTGAAATACGTTGAGTGGCTTAACTTCAGGCAAGCAGACAATGTGCTTTTTGGTGACAGAGAATCTTCCATAACTGACTTCAAGGGTTTTTCACTGCTAGCTGTCTAGTTGAAAAATAATGTAGAAGATCTATTTGTTATACGATAAGAGAGTGTCCAAAAATTGGGCAGTCAGAAATTCTGAGAGCCATTTTTTATGCTAGTTGCCAAAGCCCACTCTGCCCATCTGACCAATCGCTTGGGCGAAAGCTAATTTTTAGGTGCAGTTAATTGCAAAAGTAAAAAGTGAGAACTAGGCGACTAATGGTTAGCCTGTCCCTATATAAATGGTCTAAGTAAATCTGGGATTCTTGGAACTCTGACTCACCCCCAAATTCCTATGTTTATGGTACATTTTCCCTTGGCTTATACACAAATATTGAATTTAACTTTTGTCCTAAAAATTAAATAAAACTGTGATGTAATCCCAAAAGAAATACTTCATAAATGTTATGTGCTTCCCACTGAAAGAAACTTACACATTCTCATGTTTCTTAAAAACTTTGTAAGTTGAGAAATGAACTGATTTTTTCTTTTAATACATATGGGGCAAGAGGAGAGAGGGTGAACGAGGAGAAAGCCTTTGAATCTAAGAAAAGTAGTTGAAACTTAAGTTTCTCATATGGATCATAAATTTGAATTTTAAACATCTCTAATTGCTTCCAGGAAACAACCAACTTTAAATATCCAGCAAGATATTTAATAGATATCCATCCATGGAGTGAGAGGGCCTCTCTTACCCGAAGATTCTTTGGAAAAGGCTTAAGAAGATCATCTCACTGGGTTTTAAGTTAAATTATTTGAAGCATTTGACATTTCAACTTGAACTGACTTCTTTCATTTCTTTTACTTCACATTTCTGAAGAAAGCTTAGCTGTGAAAACCCCTAAGCTTACAAAATCTTAGAAATATTTTTGACAAACAACAACAGGAAGATGTCTCTAAGCTATTAAACAAAAGGAATTCACAAGTGATTTTGGCTAATTTTGCTGTTAAACATGACTCTTTCCTCCTCCTCCCCCACCTACACACAAACACACACACATACACACACACACACACACACACACACACACAGCACTGCACACGCTACTCCAGAGCAAACAAAAAAAGGTTTATTAAGATAAGCTTCACACAATGAGAAATCCTGGATTTAGTTTTTAAAAATGTTTTAAGGTAGGATCTAAAATTTCACTTTTCCCCATCCAGTTCCAAGCTGCTTCTGAGAACCAAGTTTGTTAGGCAGCAGCAAAATAAATGCTCTCTCAAAAATGAAAAGTAAAACTTTCGTAATGGAGTCCTTTCTCTTATCAGGATTGAATATGAACTTCCACTGAATGGACCCAAAGTGGAAACTGTTTTTATCCTCTGCTCAAGAAAAAAAAAAAATTCAGTACTTTATAAACAATGGAGCATATTACAAAGTACCATTTCAACGGATGATTTCACTCAGATTCACTACACCATCCTCTTGAAATAAAAGATCTGTCATTGTCACGCATTTTATAGCTATTACATGGTGATTATTAAATGTCAGAATGAAAATTCAGGCTGGGTATTGTTTCAAAGCATATGGGAACAGCTTCTGGACAGGGCTCACGAGAAATCAAGTTTAGAATATTCCAGAAAATAATTAAGTCTCATGGTATATAAGTCTCAACATTAGCAAAGATGGAATTTGGCAAAGTGTTACCAAATATGGTTCCTTAGGCTAGGCCAGTTTGGAGATGAGTGTTATTTTCAAATAGCTCTAACTATGATCAAATGATTATCATTTCAATTACCAGTTGCTTCAGATCTTTTCCAAGAAATGGCATGACTAGCTCTGGCTGGCTTACAGCGCCCGCCAAACAAATAGTTTATTAACCAAGAGAAAATACAATACTTATGATGTCATTGATGAATAAACCCATCTTTCAAGATTCAGTCTATAGATTTTGTCCTCCCTCCTTTTCTCTCTCTCAGAAGCAAACTTTATGAATATACCCACATACATAAAAACAAATGCAAGAATTCACATAAACACGCATAAGCTATAAACCCAAGTTTGGATGAATTGTGCAACCACCAGTATGTTTTACTGTGGAATCACAGAGAAACTGGCCTTGCAACATTGTCAAATGCCAGGATTTAGAAGGAAATCTGATAAGCGGAGGGGCGGGGGGAGCAACAAACCAACCCAAAAAACAAAACAGCGAACATATATATAGAAAATGTCTCAGGAAACATTGCTTTGTACACACAATGGCATAAATCACATGTTCGTATTTACTATTCTGAGCGAGCACTGACTACAGTTCCTAATACTCGCCGTTCTTGGGCAAGCCTCTGTCCAAGAAAGAATTTCAATAAGCTCATCTCATGATTACAGTAGCTCTCTGCAAACCGAGCATTAGCGCTGGATAAATATTGCTGATTTACTCTAATACAACACAAAAGAAGCACAAAGAAATACACTTTGTTAGTCTCATAATGTACCTTGGGTTTTCAATTAACCCAGCTCCCAATCAATATTTATGGAGGTTGTGTTGAGACACTACCGAAATCCAGATCCCCTGTCACCACTGTTTTAAATGGCTTGTTTCTGTCATTTGGATTTTGTGTCCACCACTGTATAAAAGCAGCTCAGACCATCCTGGAATCCTCTCTGTCAGAGGAAAGTATCTAGTCATGAAGTCACAAATTAGCCTCTGTATTGCTGGTCTCCACACGCGTTCTAAAAATTGGGAAACTTCACACAAGGTCTCCAGACTTCCATCTTTTCATAAAACAAAATAGTAAAATAAAATAAATAAAATAAGATAAGATAAAATAAAATGAGAGATATCTGCCAAAAAAAAAAAAAAAGTTGAAAGTGCTTGTTTTCTTTAGATAAGATGTGAGATCTCTGATTTCCAGGTACTTACAGTCAGTCGACATTTCCCTCATCTGCCTGGCCCCAGGGCAGCCGGCCAGCAGTTAAACTTGCACACCCTGATTTAGTCCACCTCCTTCATGTTATTGACGAGACAGTGAGGTTCAATGACATAGCCTGGTACCAACTTCCAACAGAACTTTGACAAGCCTCCAGGTTTCCTATCTGCCAACATGGCATTCTTCCTGGACTCTGGAGACTTTCCCTGGGTTCGAATCCCAAGCCTGCAATTTACTCACTGTGGAACACCGGGAAACTTTTTTAACCTCTGTGCTTCCATTTTTCTTTAATGTATTAAAAAAAAAAAAAAGGACAATAAAACAATCCACCTCTTGTGGTAATTGTGAGAATTAAATGGGCTAACTTAAATGCAGTGGGATGACAGTGTTAGTCACATGTTCATTGTCATGAGTCCTCTGCTCTGTTTTCCAAATGGTGCCATGCAGAGAGGAGTTTAGATGGTACATGGGTAAACTTTTTTTTTTATATAAGTTACTCATTGCTTATTTATTTATTTATTTATTTATTAAGATTTTATTTATTTATTTGACAGAGAGAGATCACAAGTAGACGGAAAGGCAGGCAGAGAGAGAGAGGGAAGCAGGCTCCCTGCTGAGCAGAGAGCCTGATGCGGGACTCGATCCCAGGACCCCGAGATCATGACCCGAGTCAAAGGCAGCGGCTTAACCCACTGAGCCACCCAGGCGCCCCTGCTTATTTATTTTTGTGGTTACCTTCCATTTATGGGAAAGTGGTACTGGTTTTCCATTTATAGGAGATTTAGAAAGTTTCCTCTTTAAATAAATTTAAGTTAAAAAAATAAGTCAATTTGAACAAAACCATTAAGTAAACACAGGACATGTGGGTATGGCAAAAAATTTTTTAAAAAACAATAAAAGACAAGATGCTATGAAAATGACTGAAATTTGGGACAGTGTATTATATTAGTGGTTCTCAAAGTGTAGTCTGGGAACCCTGGGGAATCCCCAAGACTAGTTCAGGTGGTCCATAGAAGCAAAACAAAGATCATAATAATACTAAGACATTATTTGCTTTTTTCAGTCTTATTTTCTTTCAAGTGTATAGTGGGGTTTTCCAGACACTATATGACATATGGTATGGCAGGAGAGTAAATGCAGAAGCAGATATGAGAATCCAGCTGTCTCTATTAAGCTAAGACAGTAAAGAGCTTATAAAAATGGAAAACAATGCTACTGTTTTTACTGTTTTTTTTTTCAAAATATGATTAATTTTCACAAAAATGTGGCACTTATATAATGGGTTTATATTACTATTTTTATTTTTTAAATGAACTTCCAGTAAAATTTCCTGTTTTGATGTACAGTTCTATGAGTTTTAACACATGGCAACCACTGATCCGTTCTTGCTATCGAGTTCTCTTTTCCAAATGTCATATAAATTGAATCATACCATCTGAAATCTTTTGAGACTGTTTCTTTCACTCAGCATAACGCCTCTGAGAGCCATCCATGTTGCTGCATGTACAACTGCTTGTTCCTTTTCACTGCTGAGTAGCATCTCCCATGACACGGATGTGTCACAAGATGGCTTCTCCATTCACCCACTGAGGGCCACTGGCTTCTTTTCAACTTTGGGGACTACACATAGAGCTGCTGTGAACGTTCACATCGAGATTTTTCTGTGAACAGACATTTTCAATTCTCTATAACAAATACTCAGGAGAGGAACTGCTGGGTGAGAGTCTATCTGATTTTGTAGAGACCATTTTCCAGAGTGGCTGTACCATTTTGCACTCCTACCAGCAATGGAGAAGAGAGTTCCAGTCGTTTCTCATCCTCGCCCGTACTTGATATGGTCTTTGTTAATTAACTCATCATTGCCACTCTAATATGTATGGAGTGGCTTCTCATCATGTTTTACATTTTCATTTCCCTAATGACTAATGATGTTGAACATCTTTTCAGGTGTTACTTCTTCATCCGTATATC